CAGGAATGTTTATATGCGTTTATCCAACCTCTGGGGTATTTACACCCAGTTTGGGCACTGAAAACAATGCCATTTGTGTTCTGGTGAAATGGAAGTGTTTTGCATAGTTCGATTACAAACAGATACTTGTTGATGATTTGTTAGGGAACATGAAAAAAATTAAGCACAACATAAACTGACATGATAAGTTGGCTCCTGGCTCTAAGGATGGCCAACCGCTTCAGTCTAGACTGAGATAACCTGCTGTCAAATTTTGTGCAGATGTTTGAGATCCCCTGAGGTTGAATCCTAGTGGTGTTTGCAATCCTCTGATACCGGTTCAGGTGCCACCACCAGGTCAAGGTTTTCACTTAGCTACTAAAATATTTCAACTTCCACTACATAGATGGACTGACACAAAGCTGTGTACATTTATGGTTATTCCACGGTGACGTCTGATGAGTTTGTTGATCTAGTTTATTGAACTACCTTGAAAACCGCTTCACATATTATTTCCTGCTCAGGGTCATTCAGAATGGCTTTTGTGATGTCTTAACTTTCCACATAGGTTTCATATGTATAATATTTTGGTTTATGACTGAATGAGCCTCAGGAGTAAATCAAATCAAATCAAATCAAATTTTATTTGTATAGCGCCAAATCACAACAAAAGTCATCTCAGGACGCTTTACTAAGTAAGGTCTAGACCTTACTGTTATCAATATTATTACATACATAGTTTACAGAGTACTTAGTTTGGGAGTGGTGTCCTATTGGTACACTTATAATTAATTGTCGTTCTTTTGCCAACATTAGTGTAAATGTTGCTTAAAAACACTGTGATATCATAGCTGGGGCATCAGATGCATACATTTAAAACATGCCTGATGTTACTTCAGCTGGTTTTTCTATTTCCATTCAACAAAATTTGTCTGAAAATGAACCATAAATTTTAACTATACTACACCATTTCACTCGTTCGTTGTTTCTTGGGTGCTTACCGTGTGCACTGTGTCCTCTTTTTTCATTAGCCACAAATTAAACAGCCCTTTCCAGGAAACCTCATATGGTTATAAAATATGATGAGTAAGTGGTTTATGTTTATCCTAACTTGGAGGCCCTGGAATCAGCATTACTGGCTTACAAGAACCAAAACTCAGGGCAGTAAACAAACAACTTGATCTGCTTAGACCTGGGCAATGTGCCACAAGTAAACCAAACCAAAGAGTAATGTAGCAGAATGAGCTGCTAATACTGTTCGTTTGGAGCAAAGAAGGCAAGCTGTAGGAGTGATGTTTCTAGAAGTTCTCATGTAAAAAGACAGCATCTTGTCAAGTGTATGACTTGGCAGGAAGCAAACTGCTCAGAGCCACTCCATGGAGCAGGCATGGGACACAGGTGGAGCACAGGGAGCCCCTGAAGTGTCTTATTCAAGGTGGAGGGATGTATTGAAGAGGCTGAGGGGAGAGACACAAAGAAAGATGTTATCACTTCCATCTCCTCCTTTGTGTTGGTGTGTAGGGAGGTACTGAAAACAGATAACCTACATTTTCTTTGAGACAGACTGTGGCAGCAAGGCCTCCCTGGATTCTGAAAAGACAAAGTGAGGGATGGAAAGGTATGGGAAAACAGAGGCTGAGGAGAGGGTAACGAAAGAGAGAAAGGGGCAGATTTCCATTTTGACAAGGCAGACATGAAAAGGTAGAGACGCAGGCAGACAAAAGAAAACTGAAAGTTTTGACGGTAATCCTCTTCCTTTCTTCCCTCTCTAGTGGTTATATTTAACACATCTAGAATTCTATTCCATGCACATCAATGAGCCTGCACTGCTTTGCAATCTGCACATGTGATGTGTTCAGGGAACAGCAGGAGGGGTGTGTGTGTGTGTTTCTGGGAAGAACATTTGAGTCAAAAATAAGTTTTATGGTGAATATTTAGATGACTTTGTGTTCAGATGAGCCAGATGGATCCACAACACTTAAGTCTTCAAATGAAAGTCACATTTACTTTATTAGAGATTGCAAATACCACTGTAATGATTAAAGAACCAGTTTATTTAATTGTCACAAAGCTATAAAGCTTTTTCAAGGTGGAATTGCTGAATGAGACATTATAATATTTAGTCTTGTTTCAATATACATGAATTAGCCATCAGCCCTGTGACAGACTGGCGACCTGTCCAGGGTGTACCCCACCTCTCACCCAGTATCAGCTGGGATAGGCTCCAGCCCCCCACGACCCTCTTCAGCATAAACGGTATAGATAATGGATGAATTAACAATTCTGGAGTCAAGCTGGAGTGCCAGGGGTAAAAAAAGTAATCATTGGAATTATGTGGTTGCAAATAATTTCACCAGAGATGTGTAGGCTTTGTTCTCTGTTCCACTGTTGCCACCTAGTGCTCACAAAATTTATTTAGACTAAGGTTGTGCCTGTTTGAAAAAATGTGGCACAGTACTTGTTTTTAATAAAGGACTAAATGGGGCTTGTAAATTCTATATCATTTTAGCAAGGATTTATTATTGATTAATAAAGCCATTATTTACTAGTTATACATCTGAGACCAGTTTAAAAATTCTACCAAAAATGAAACACAGGGACAACCATTCAATCTCTAACACTGTAGGTCTAAGACCTTGGTAAAGTAGTGTGCAGCTGTTTGATGCCTTAACAGAATCTAACATACCTCCCTGTCACACCAGCTGGCCACACAAAGAAAAAGACATTTTAGGAAATACAATTATTCACTTTTGTGCTGAGAGTTAGAAAAGATTGATACCGCTCTCATAAGAGTACAGAAAATATGAAGCCACTGGGGGCAAACGGCTTGACCCATTAACAATGATATAATTATGAAATGAATGGCATAGAGGACTTATAAAAAAAAAAAAAAAGGGTTTAACAATAAAGAAACTCCTGTGGGTGCAGCATGATTGAATTTGAATCATGAATATCTTGCTGCTCCCATATCTCCAACTTCTGCTGCCATGTGGAAAGCCACATTAACAATGTAGAGCCTCCTTAAATGCAGGTCTTCTGTGTATTCCTTGATGCTAGTTTGGCTACTTTTAGATCGATTGTTCTTTTTACTATGTTGATGCATGGCATACCTGAAGAAAACCAGGGAAGGTGTAGATATAAAGACAATAAGAAACACCCAGAATCTGTACTGCGAGACAGGGAAGGCCATATCATAGCACACCTGTTTGCAGCCTGGCTGGAGGGTGTTGCAGCCAAACTCCTCTTGCTCATCATCAAACAAGTCACTGGCAACAGTTCACAAGATCAGTATCCTAAACACGAGCATGACTAAGAGCCAGAAATGACCGAGCATCGACGAGCGGGCCTGGAGTTGATCAAAGAGTTCACTAAGGAAGCTCCATTCACCTATGATTGCAGCACAGTCTCCAGTGTGGCTTCTTGGAAGTCTGGAGGTGTATCCACCTGTCCTCAGAGCAAACGCTGCTTCTGCGCAAAAAAAAAAAAAATCACAATGCATCTTATCTCCAGCTCATGGTCAAACTAACTAGGCCAGTGTGCAGGTCAGAGGTTGATCTGTTATGTGTCTGAAGTGATGGTAGGGTGTTCCAGTGAACTGAAATCAAATATCAAACGGTCTTGTCACTTGCAATAACAGCAATTCAAACTTATCACTCAGGAAACAAAGCAACACTGGCCTATTCTAATGCCCTTGGTATGTCTAACTTTCTTTTATTACTACTAGTAATGAACATAATTTAAGGCCTTTTAGATTAGATTCATCTTGCCATTACATACATATGTACAAGTGCAGGGCAACGAAATACAGCTTAGTATCTAACCAGAAGTGCAATAGCAGTGCTATCAAATACTGACAAAAGATTTTTTGACATTCATGAAAGGAAATAATGTAACTAGTGCAGGTTATTGTCCATACATCTGAACTTGCTGTTAAAGGCTCAAGATTTAATAATACAGCCTCACCCACCTAAAAGCTGTTACTTGTGGAGGTATACTGGTTGAACTACTTGCCAGCCTGAACATCAACTCAGATCCAACATTTCAGACAAGTAGACAATGGCAGCAAGGTGAGTAGATAATTTCAGCCTCTGGCATTTTATGGCCTTAAAGACATGCAAAAGCTATCCCCTCTGATCAGCCATAAAACTCCTGCTGGCTCTTCCCATCTTCTCCCACACAGATATGCCCTTGTAAAAACCAAAGGAAGAGTTAAACAAATTGTATCCGTACCAACTTGTACTATTCTTGCTCTCCTCCCTCTGCAAATGGCAGGACTGAGGTTTACCAGCACTTATAACTAAGCGCGGCAGCAGTGAAGAAATTCCTGCTACATCCTAATCTGCACTCATGAAGAGTCCCAGACAGAAGTGATGTTTACCCAAGAAAGGCCAACTCTTGATAAGCTTTTCAAAGTGATTCCTATGCAGCAGGAAGGATCTGGTCCAAGCCTGTACTATCAGCTCCCCCAGTCACTAGGGATAACATGAGAACATGCAACATGATTAAAGTACCTTATGATTAACTGTGCTTCATTCAATTGGTAACTGTAGGCATTAAAAGGCATCTGACAAATGCCAAGTTCAAGTAAGAAATGAAGTTGATTGCTTCTGATTTAATCAACATTACTGTCTGTCAGAACCAGAAGACGCCATAATCATCCTGCACCAACTCTCTACAAATCAAAGCATTAAGGAAAAATAATTCATTCCCTCTGCCACAGATATTAAATGCTACTCACCTCTCCAAATTTCCTAGAGTGGGCAGCTGATGCTCCTAGCACTCTTAAAACATACCAGAGAATTTTGCAAACAGCCAGCCAAATAAATAAATAAATAAATGAAAATCCAAACATGTAACAATACACAAAGGTAGTTTTATTTTACAAAAACCTAAAATGTTCAGTGAAATATTTACAAGACACAGACAAGTTCATTAGAAAAAATACACAGAACTAAGTAAATTTACAGCTAAAACTACACTTGCACACATATCTGTGTCTAAGAACCGGAAGCACACAAAGTGACTTTATTTTACAACAACACTTTTCTTCCACTAAAATGAACAAGAATTTCAGAACATAGTAAGGTGAGGTCTAAGGTCCTGTCAAGTGTAACTGCGACCATGTTTCAATGAAACCGAAGCCATATTCATCACATGGCACAAGCTACATGCTTATTAAAAACACTGTCTTTAGCACAAAATGAACTCTGACTCAGAGGCTAAATTTTAAAAGTCTTCTGAACTGGAGTCCATTTGGTAGGTTACAGGTTTACGGGCACGTGAGGGTTTGTTCCGCGGCGCCGCCTCTACAGGAGCTGCTGCTTCTGAGTCTGAAACCTGGAAGCTGTCGTCCTCTTCCCACTTCTTTGTTTTCTACAACAGAGAAATATCCAGGTGTGACAAGGTATTAATGGTGACTTACAACACCTAAACAAATGAATAAATAAAAAGTATGAGGCCTCATTGCTCATGAACAGACTTTACTGAAATTAGAATTCAGGGTAAACACTGACCTTGCTGCCAGCAGTTGCTTTGGTCATCAGGCGTGACATGAGGTTATCTGAGCTGCTGTCGGACTCGTCACTGACTGCCTGCTTCCGTTTGAGAACAGGCTTTGCTTTTGTTACTGGAGGTCTAGCTTCACCTTCTGAGTCACTGGAGTCAAATGAAGGGACCTTCTTGACAGCGGTGTTGGATGAAGGTTTGGGCTTAGCGAGAACATCTAGGATAGACGGCTGCTTCACATCTAGAAGAAACCAGCCATGTTTACCTATTTCAAACTATGCCGATTAGACAAGAACAGTGAACTGCACACTGGGGGGCCAAACAGGCTTATCTAAATACCTGCAGCCTTCTTCTTTGGTGCAGCTGGTTTCTTGGAAGCAGCAGCTTTCTTGGGTGCGGTCTCCTTGGTTTTACTTTTAACTGGAGCCTTGGATGGCTGCATTTGATCATGATCATCTGACTGAGCTGAAAGGTGTGACAAAGAGCAAATAATCGTATGGCCCTTGGTCCAACATTTTAAGATCATCATCATGAGTGTCCATGAACATACTTACAACTTGACTTGGCTTCAGCTACTTTTTTTGCTGGTTTGCTCTTTGCAACTTTCTTCCTGTAGAGAAAGGACCATTTGATTGAAGGTAAATTTTACAAATTGACCAAAAAGCCTTGAAGTGAAACATTTATTCATCAAGACTTGTTGTTTCTCGCTCACGTGGGCTCTGCAGGTTTGGGAGGTGGAGCTGGAGAGTCCACATCACTGTCAGCCATGCCACTGGGCTCTGGGGCAAAACTTGCATCATCATCATCATCATCATCACTGATAACTCCTGTCTGTTTCGGAGCATCCTTCTTCCCCCAGTCATCAAATTCCTCTTCACTGTCAGACATACTGTATTTCACAGCACCTGAAGAAATGGTCAAGAGAACAGAGTGTTTTCGGCCATGCTGTCATATGTGGCTTGTTTTAGGACATTTGTTTGACCGGTGTCCTGCACTAACAAATGAGTGATCAAAACACAAGAGCTAATTATCCTCAGGAAACCAGTTCTACCAGTGTTTTCACTTACAATCACAAACATTTTAAGTGATTACATCTCATCTCTCAGACTGTGACAGGGAAGAGCCTCGAATATTAATCTAGCATGTATTCAGTACGAGTGAGCAAACAGCTGAAACAGAGTCTTAGGAGGAAGACAACAGATGAGGAACCCAACTATGTGGCTACACCTGTCTAAGTATCAGTGCTGATAAAGATTCACCTTTAGTTTTGCGTTCAGCCCGCTCCCTGGGGGCAAACACCTCCTCTGTTTCCATTTCACTGTTGGATAGCTCGTCAGACTCGTCCTCTGACCACGGGTTCTTCTTGGGCTTCTTGGCAACAGGCTTGAACTGCAGCGTGGTCTGCTTGCCTGTTTTGGATACTGCCACAGATGTACGTTTATTAGTCAACTTTAATAAAATGCAATGTGCCTCATTACAGTAAACCAAAATACAGCACAACAAGTGGAACCAGTTTTATAAGTCTCTGAAACATACAAGTTATAATATATGGTCAATGTTTGGGGGAATTTTTCTGTTGCTCGATTATTACAGGCCTCAAATGACAATTTGAGCTATGCACTTAGCTGTTTCACAATTTCAGTTAATACTGGTGCAGACTTTTTGTATTAGGAAACTAATCTAGGCAGCAATATCCACATAATCTTGACAGCATTGCAGTCTGTTAATATTCAACAAACCTTTAGCAGACATCTATCGATTACATTCTTCAGCAGACACCAAATTTACACCAACTACAATAATCTTTTTTATAATACAACAATGGGCTGATAAAATAAACCGATATGATATGCAGTCTGTGGCCTTATCTCTTGAACACAGTATCATTTACCTAAATGGTTAGAGCTTTGAAACTGATGAACACTGGGTTTCCAAAGTTTGCAGCTGATGTATTTTCACACTGCTGTCACTAGATATTACTAAGGAATCATTTGTTACTGGCTGCACCTTTAAAACTAGATTTACTTATGTAGACACCAACAGAGCTGATACAAACAAAAACCCCCTAAGGCACACGCCTGGTGTACGTTTCTGTACTACAGACCGAACTCTAAATTTTGCTCAGTAACAATGTTTTCAGCCATTAAAGTAGACTAGAGGAGCTGTTTGGAGCAGTCGACCTCACCTTTTTCCTTTGCCTGGGTCTTAGTCTTCTTAGTCAGTCGTGCCACCAGGCCGAGGTCCTCAGCCGGCTCTGCGTTCTCTGCATCTTCTCCAAACTCCATCTTTACCACTACATTTTCACCCTACAATTACATTAATAAGGTCAAGCAAACTGTTACCGTTATGTGGGGAATGTGCTGGTACCATAACACTCAACATGCTGCTGACGGACACAAAAGTTTTGTTTCTGAATGTTAGGATTAATTTAACTACAGCCTCAATACACAAAACAGTGTACTTCAGTCCATATTAAATAATACTTGTCTAGTGTGACTTACTGTGTGACTATGACATACCTTAACTTTCCTGCCCTTCTTGCCTTCTCCTTTCTTAAGATCAGCCTTCCTATTAGCTTCAGCTTTCATGGCGCTGGTAACACGTGGGATGACACGGCGACCCTGGGGCGTGGGCAGAGTTTCTGTCTTGACCTTCACCTTCGATTTGCCTTTTCCAGTCCCCTTTGCACTAGGCATGGCAGCATTCTCCTTTTCTTTTGCCTCAACGTTCTGAACACAAAAAGGAACAAGATCACAGGATGACCAAGGAAGAATGTGGACAGGAACATCCCCTGTTCAACAGATCAATGCTCACTGTATGCCTGCTCATGTGAGACTGGTAAAGTTGTAATGGTAATCCCTTTCTGAAGCTATGGTGGATAATGTATGTGACTGATGAGGTGCAGTAGTGGCTGACTGTTTAGAAGAGAAAGGTGAAGGAAATGTATACCGTCAGTTCCTCTAAGAAAGCAGCCAGGTCTTCCCTCCACAAGTCTGCTGGGGTCTTCTTCTTCAGGGTGTTCAGCTCTGTCATCTACAAAACAGCATTTGAGTCAAAAATTGAGCAATTTTAGGTTTAAACATCAGTCAGATTGCAACACAGCTGAACATCACACACCTTAGCATCCCTCTGTTTACACAGCTCCTCCTTCTTCTCTTTAGTCAAGAACCACATGGGCATGCTCAGCAGGTAGTTGTAGTCTGGCCCACTGGTGTCCTCCTTCTCTGTTCCTTCCTCCTCCTCTTCCTCCTCCATCTCTTCCTCATTCTAAGAGCATGAACACAAATATTTCCTCAGGTGGAGGCTGACTACTTAGCATTCCCCAGTAATGCAGCCATTTGAACCAAAATGTCCTACTTTCTCTTGAGCCTGTTTCCAAGCTTTGACTGGGTCAGAGTCATAGCCCATCTGCTGCAGCATGCGAATCAGTTCCTTCTTCGGCTTGTTCTCTGCAAGTAGATGAACAGTATTATTACTTTTTATCAAAAGAAAATCTAAACACTCTAGGCCTGCACAGTTATGGCTATAACCATCATCTAAATTGTGACTATCCATAAATTTTGCCATTTCTAAACATGTTGTTGAAGAAATTGTAGCAGTGTGTGGTTTAAACAAAAACTGTATCAAGCTACTAACCAATAACCAAGGTGCCCTCGATTTTCTCCAGGATGAAGCGGGCCTGGTTGGTGAGCTTTGCGCTCTCTGCACCCAGCATGCCGGCCAGCCAGTCCTTTCTCAGCACGTAATACTTCATCCTCAACTCAAAGAAGTCCTTGAGAATATCCTGCACAGACTCGTACTTCTTCAGGCTGCCCACGTGGTCAAAAAGAACCTAAACAGAAGGGGAGACCAAACAGTAAGGTTCAGGACAGTTTGGGAATAGGTTACACTTTTCAGAAATGCATGGGATTTTACACCTAGGTACAATACTCCTCATCCTCTGTTGTGGGATTATTAGATGTGTGTGTCTATGTGTGGCATCCTCTACCATGGAGTTGCAGGTGAGGGGGCTCTGCAGTTTGAAGACTTTATGGAGGCCAGCAGCTTCTGCCTCCCTCAGCTTCTCTTCCGTCATCTTGACCACAAAGCGCACAGTGGTGTCTGTGTGGTAGTCCTTGTAGTCTGTGATCAGAGGAGGGACTTTCTCTGTACCATTCAACATTGGCTCCAGCACATTCTCCTTGAAGGCCTAGATCAAAGAGAATAACAAGAAGTGACTAGGGCTGGACCCAAATATTCGGCTACTTGATTATTCATTGGTTGGGTAGGTAATCAGTGTAGAATTCTGATATTCAACACCATATACTGAACACATCCTTAAAGCTTTACTGACTAACCTGTGTCCAGGATTTTACAGGCAACTCAGAGATCTCAATGGTGGTGGAATCAATGATAGCCACCTCTCCATTGTTCATGTACTGGTTATCCATCACCTGATCAATTGTGCCTCGGAAACCTTTGTAGTTTGGAAGCTGTGGGAGAAAAAGCACCCGTTATCTGTTCTGTATACAAGATTGGAATCTCAGAAACCACAGCCATTTCCTGTCCTTACCATGGACAGAGGCTCCTCGCCATTGAGCATACGGTGGATGTTACTGATAATCTCACGTATATCGTAATTGGGGATCTTGCTGGCCCAGCCTGTGCCAATACCTTCGGCGCCATTCACCAGCACAGTGGGAATGATGGGTATGTACCACTCAGGCTCTACACGCTGGTTGTCGTCATAATTGTACTTGAGCAGGTTGTCGTCCACAGGCGGGAAAACAAGGCGGGCCAGAGAGCTGAAAGGACATAATGTTACCTACGTAAACCCACATTCTCAAAACATGTTAAAGGTGTGCAGGAGGCCTCTAGCTTCAGACTATTTGAGGTTTCAAAGGAGGTTGCTGACCTGAGCATGGTGAAGATGTATCGAGGACTGGCAGAGTCCTTGCCACCATGCAACCTGGTGCCAAACTGACCAAGAGGCTGCAACAGGTTCAAATTGTTGCTTCCCACAAAGTTCTGGGCCAAACCAATAATGGTCATCATCAGAGAGGCCTGAAAAATAGAGTTGAGGAGATTAAATCACCAGTATGATAAAAACCTAACTAGGAGCTGCTCACCAGGAACAGTTGACATAATACACATCTGCTATCAGAGGATGTTGTGCATTTATTTTACAAATTAATGACATTAAACTAAATTCTCTGCTATATTTCTAAACCAACATGCAATAACAGAGTGTGATCCAAACTATCTAAACTAGAAGGAACCCCTGTTATCACCACATAATGAATGTTACAGTAGGCAGTAGTTTACATTCAAGCCAACAACCCACTTTAGAAATTAAGAAGACTAATGAAAAGCTTCTTAATACATTTACAAACAACCATCAGCACTGTAAACTCAAGTCAGGTCATCTCACCTCTCCGTGGTGGTAGGCTGACATCTCAGCCACTGAGCCAGCCAGCTGGGCCACCTTCACTTCCCGCTTGTCATTTCTCTTGAAGCAACAGAACAGCACCTTTCTCTGGCCAGGCTTCAGACCTGACAGACACACAAGTGCATGCACACATCAGACCACTTCCTCTGTGTTTTTCAAGAGCAACAAATTTGTTCTTGGTGATCATTTCACACACCATCCACCAAGCAGGGAATGGACCTCTCATTGTCAGAGTTGGAGAAAAGTACCAGCTCCTTATTAACAAAGTCATTGTAGGAGAGATGCTTGGTGGACTGACCATACAGGTACTCCTGTGAAGAGAGCAAAAAGATACAGTGAAACTTAACAGAAAATAATAATAATAATAATAATAATAATAATAATAATAATAAATGCTTTCAAATAGTTAGGGCATTGCCTCGGGCAGGTTGTGTTCCCTGCGCTGGCGCCTGTTGATCATGAAGTTGGTCAGCCACTCTTTGCGCTCCTCGACACATCTTAGTCTCATGAATGGCCCTAAAAACAAATGCAGGCGTGGAGCTCTGCGACCTCTAGTATGTATAACATTACAGTGTTAGGGGGAGACATTATGTTGAGGATGACTCCAGTGCATCATCGAGCCATACTTTCTGCCCCACCAAATAACTCAAAACTGTAACGCCACAGTTCAGCACTACATAGTTCTCAGTCTTTTCATGTTTTCAGAAACTATTTTCTAACATGTATAATACTGTATGTTTAGAAACAAATCACTGGTTTTGCTTTACCCCAACTTTAAAAGATTTTTAAAACACAATAACAACTTACAAGGGTGATAGCTTCATCGTCTTCAGGCCCAGAGTACTTGAATGGGATACGGTGTCTCTGCATATCAGAGAAGTACTCCTTGGCTTCCTGCGATGTGCTGGTTCCCAAACCTGGGTGGACAAAGGCCATAAAGAAAGACAACCTCTTTAAAAAAAAAAAAAAAAAAGCATTATAATGACACATAAGACTATAACCATGACACTGAACAGGTATGAAGGGCTGCTTACTTGTCTATTTTACTACCACACAGGGGTTTGTAACAAACCTTTGTAGTATTTGACTTTCCAAGATTTGTGATTGGGCTGGCTCTCCTTCCATGCATTAAATTCAGGGATACTGTAGAAAGACAGCTGAGTTTTCTTGTAAGATGCCTAAAGAGAGAGAAATAAGTTTGCAGCCACTCAATGTCTTCTTGCCTTGTCATTTCAATGCTTCAATTCAGTTCAGTGTTCCTTCTGTCTTTCATCACTAGATGTCAGTCTTGCTGCCAAGTTAAGCATTTTGAATTTAGTTTTTTTAAAAATAAGGGTTTGAAATCGACTTCCATTCACATTTGACCAATATTTTAGTAAAGCCCCAACCTGTTAACTGGCTTTCAATCATTAAGGCGACTAAAAGAATTTAGAGCAAAGTGACTATTGACAGTAGTCCACTATAACCAACACGTCCTGTGAGACTACCCACCTTGATGATGGGGGTGATGAACTCTTCCAGGAAGTTGTGGTGCAGCAAAGATGGCCAGTTATGGTGGATGAAGTTGATGAGCAAGCCCTTAATGTGGGATCCATCTTGATCCTGTCACAATGAAAGGAATGCAGTGAGCTCCAGTCATATTAATGTAAACTAATAAGTAAAGCTAAAAACATCTTTTGCATGTAAGGTTGGAAACACGAGCAGTCTGTCAATATCTAGCAAAAGTCTATCACAGAGTAATGTTGCTTTCCACTGACTAGCTCATAGTTCATCTCTGCTTGCCCAGGTACATTACAAATGCTAAATGACCAAACACAGTTAACGAAAGTACCCAAACATGAGTTACAATAATTAAAAACATCCATTATTTTTATCTGTGTTTTAATAATTTCAAATCTGCAATGGTCAAAGCATCATGCGAACTCTCATTCAGAAGTTAGTTTCAGATCAGAGCACTCAAAGCAGGGGTGGATTTAGTGATTTGGAGGGTGGAGGCAAAGTACTGCACAGTAAAAATACTGTCAAAGAAAGACCTGTGTTTTTTTATACATTTTAATAGTCACATTAGTCTAGTTATTTGTTCAAAAGAATGCTGTTGCAGTTTGCTACTCAAGAATGTTAACAGTACACAAAAGAAAATAAAGCAATGTTAACTTAAAAAAGCTATAACCAATACGAGTACTGCTGAAGTATCGCATCGAAAAGTAGTATGATAAAGCAGTAAAAGCCTGAGAGCTCCAGAGTAACTGTAGTATGAACAGAAAGAGAACGGAGTCTCTTTCAAATGAACTCACAAAGTGAATGCAATATAACCGAGTCCCGTTTTTGTTGGCCCACTTTAAGAGGACTGGGACAGGTTCACTTAAAAAGGGCTATATGTGAAGCCACCCTAAATGTTACTACAGCTGCTAGGATTGGGCTGAACGATGTCAACTACAATAACAACATCAGAGAAGCTGTATATGACAGCACTACAAGGTAATAGAAGTTTTAAATGATCAACACAACAGCCAAGATTAAACCAAAGTAAAAAAGAAAGATATAAGCTTGGATTAAAGATCAAGACCATTGCGCAGTGAAAGCACACCTGATCTGTCATGATCATGATCTTGCCATAACGCAGACTCTTGAGGGATTCTGGGTCACTGTAGTTCTTCTTGTACTGAAGCCCGAGGATCTTAATGATGTTGTTTATCTCAGCGTTGTCCATAATCTGAGAGGATAACAACATTTATTTTCAGTTAACCACAAAACATTTACCTTAAATTATCAATACAAATGTTTTCTTTCATTGAACATATGTTGATGCTCCATGACACAGTTTATGTACTTGTTTGCATCTGCAAAAATAGACAGCTGCCTTCACACAAGTACAACTTCATGAGAAAACTACTGATGTTCCAAACCTGTTTGTATGAGGCCTCCCGGACGTTGAGCATTTTCCCTCTGAGCGGGAAGACGCCGTAGCGGTCCCTACCAACCACTCCCAGCCCAGACACAGCCAGTGTCTTGGCTGAGTCTCCCTCAGTAAGGATCAGTGTGCAGCCGATGGAGTTCCTTCCACCTGCCAGAGAACATGGTTATGACAGGTTGTTGGCCACTAATTAAACTTTTGATATGGCCACAGCATAGTCAAATAGGAGAAAGGAGCTTGGTATATATTACCTGCATCATTGGCGTCATCCAGTTTAGGCACACCTTTGATTTTTGTGTGTTTAACAGCTGAGCATTTCTTGTTGAGCTGGGTCTGAGCCTTGAACTTCACCCAGTTCATGATGCTTTCCACAATTCCACAGGATGTGGCCTATGGACAACACAAAATGAGGAGAAATGAGTGAAATCCAAACGATTAGGCTTCCGAGGTTGAGAACACAATGCCATTGGGTTTTCATTTGCACCTGCTTAATGAACTTGTCACCGAGAGAACAAGTGGATCCAAAGCTCTTCTGCTGCAGTGTCATGTTCTCTTTGGTCTGAGAGTCAAAGGTGGGGTTTTCGATCAGGCAGTTGACAAACAGCCACATGTGGTTCTTCACCTGAGTGGAAAAGAAGTGAAGCATTGATTCATTTGATAACAGAATATTTGAAATACTTTCAGTTATTCAGTTTGACAACAGTTTTCAGTATTAAAAAACAAAAAGACAAGACTATCCAACTTTACAAGTGACTGTACCTGGAAAGGTTTGACTGCCACCCCAGCTTTATTCTTCTTCTTCACGACTTCAATGAGCTTCCCAACCACCTGGTCAGCCACATAGTCAACGTGTCTCCCTCCCTTGGATCCAGAAGACAAACAGAACATCCAATTTAGAGAATAAATGTCGTAATTCCTAATTACAGTGACACAAAGTGGCTGGGATAGTAGCCAAACAAATGTGGTCTACTATTTCAACCAGCCTTAAAATGCTTTATAGGTGCACTATAATGTAAATTTAAATAGGGCTAACAGATTAGCGATAGGTTTTCCAACAGCCTATTTAAAAACTGGCAGGAAGGTCAAAATGCACACTCATTTAATCACTCCATTACATGCATACATTCACAAAAGATGCACTACAGAGGATCTAACACACTGAGACATTACCTTGGTCGTAGCAATACTGTTGACAAAGCTGACTTGCTGGAAACCTTTCTCACTCATGGTGAGGCACACCTCCCACCGCTCGTTGACAATCTCGTGGACCACAGTGAGGGCTTCACCAAGCTCATCCACCTTGTCTTTCACATACATGTCCACGTAGCTACGGAAACCTGTAACCTGGAGTATAACAGCAGTTGTCTTAGTCTTAAACATTCAATTTAACCCTTGCAGACTTGTGCAATGATCAGAGAAATCATAAAAGTTTAAACTCAATAGGCAGCCAGTTAAATGGTAGAAACTGAACTATGGTTGCTGCCGTTTGAACCATGTAAAATCCCTCTCATACTCCTCAAGGCTAAGTTAAAATATAACATTTCAGAAGCAAAAAAAATATGTAGCTGTTAACAAGCTAAGAAAAAAAAAAAAAAAAGCTTTCTCCAGGTTTCTAAAAAATTAAAGTTGTTAAATTTTCAGATACATGTGGTTGGAGTAAAACGAAAAACAAATGAAATTGCATAGTACTGGCAGCTTCTTGCTATTGAAGAACACACGAACACCCTTGGAAGACCCAGCGATGTCGTAGGCCCTCCTGGTCATCAGAGCCACTGTGTCCTTGTCCAAAATACTCATTTTAAACTTGGGCAGATCTGGCCTGAAGGTGATGCAGGTGTATTCCTCTCCCTCAAAAGGTTTGATGCTAGCATCCCCTGCCCGGCCCATGTTGTCATACCAAGTCTGTAGAAAACATTAATATACTGTTAAACTAATATTTTTCTCTTGGAGGTTACAAAAGAACAAATGTGGTTCAGTTGCCTTCCTACCTGCTTGAAGACCTTCCTTGACTCTTTACAAGCAGTCTCCACGGTGAACTTTGTGCTAAAGATGTTGCAAAGTTTAGCACCATATCCATTACGTCCACCTATAGAACAGGTACAAAGATGTTTCTAAAGAAATAACCTGCAGATTGCTCAAACATAGCATAGTGCATCAATCAATTTTTTTTATGGGTAATCAATACCACAATTAAGTCTCACCAGTGACTTTCTTCTCCTCATCATCATAGTTGCTTGAGGTGAGGAGCTGTCCAAAGATCAGAGCAGGTACATAGACCTTCTCCACCTTGTGCTCCACCACAGGAATACCCTTCCCATTATTCCATACACTGATTGTGTTGTTTTCACTAAAAGAAAAAAAAAATGCACACAAATACTCAATTGCTTTTGTGAGACAAAGCAAGTCAGTTGAGCTGGGGCTATTTGACAACTTACTTGTCACAGGATCACAGGACACCATGGTAGGATTATCAGATAGTTTGAGATCTGAATTCATTATGCAGTATTATACTGTATTACTCACACATCAATGTTGACCTTGATGCAGGACATGCTCTTATCCCTCTGCTTATTGTCAGCTGCATTTACTGTAATGAGAAAAAAAGTTTCATTTTTTTGTTGACCCAACATTTTGTACTTTATACACAATCTAAACTAATAAAATCTGTTTGCTCACCAAGGATCTCATCAAAAATCTTGTAAAGCCCAGGTACAAATGTCACATCACGGCAGTTCAGTCCAACATCCTCATCATACACCCACATTTGCTAAGGAAAGAAGTCAACTAGTGACTACAAAGACCATGCATACATTTGTATAATATGAACTGTTAAGGCTTTGATCTTCGAATCAATATTCTACAACTCCAAAGTGAGATTTACCCAAAGGCTTCAATCAAAGGCTAGAGACACTACATAAGCATTGCTGTGAGAGTTCTTACTTGGGTGACAGGCTCAACAGAGCCTATATAGGAGTCCGGCCGGAGCAAAATGTGCTCCAACTGCGTCTTTTTCTGATAGATCCTCTCCACTGACAGCCGCTTCAGATCTTTCTTTGTCTGTTGTGCCGGCTTGTTTTCAAAGGCCTGCTGGGATAGGACATGGTTATCTTCATGTACATTTTCTTTAAATGCAGTCAAAACAGCAACATGAGGTTGCATTTGTGTTACAGGTAACTTCCATACAATGCCCAACGCCACCTGCAATGCTACAGTATTTGGTCAAGCAACTTCACACTGTTGTATTTACTCAAATCCTGAGTTTTAATCTATATGTTGTGCTTCTCAAGGCCATTTCTGAAGGGCAGATGTTCGAACTGGGTCTTAATACTTGCAGTCACTTCTTCCATTTCAATTAACTTAAGTTATCTACCTTGACCTGACCAACGACAGGCCATATTTCCATATTTGCTCTGCTGACCAAGGACACTCTACTTTTGTCTAATATTGCACGCGCATTCACAATTTTTAAGTCCAAATATACTTTAAAGTGCTAACATTACATTTTGAGTGAACCGGTATAGATGGATGATTAAATTACAACATTACCTGGGCTGCTACGTTACACTAACTGTTAACTTGCCAGGGATAAGAGGAGACGTAGCGTTAGCCAACTAGATGAGTTATGGATCACAATAACTAAAGCAGGGTGTACTGATAAAGACTTAACATTGCTAATGTTCACAAGATTCTAAAGCTGTCGTTATTGGCATTGTTAGCGTACATCACATGTTATGCTTTGCTAAGTGCTTGGGAGGTCGGTTAACTTGCTAACATTTTTTTCAAGTTGCTGAAAAGGGCGCTCTGCATTTTGCGGATTAACACCACGCACAATTACGTTAAAAGTCGTTATGATGATTAGCGTTATGTTAATGTAATTTACAATCTTAAGCGACGTTAGCAAACAAGCTTAAACATTTAACCATTGCCAAAACGTGTTTCTATAGCCAACAAGTAGCACTAAGGGTTAGCCAAAAAGTTAGCAGTAGATATCAAAGCGATAGTAACGTTACCTTCAGTGGTTCAGCCATTCTTCTTATATCTATTGATAACTCCGGCGCTTGCGATATCTAAAATAATGCGTTCACGACTAGCTAACCGGACTCCTAAAAATAATTTGCTTAGCTGCCTGGCTGCTCTAACGTGCCCCGACTGAATAACTCAATCCCCGTTTGAATATTCGAAAACCATGGCGGCAGCTATGATGACCAATCAAACAAGGGGACTCCTGATGTTTCTCTCCAATAGGAAACATAAAGCCGAACTTTTTTTTACGTAAATAACCAATCACCGACAGCAGAAGAAGTATGCGCCCGCCCACTTCTTGTGCCAAGGAAAACCAGCTTCTCAAGAAGAAAATAGAATGAATGTTATAAAAATTATAGGATTTTTTTTTTTTTTATCAGCGACAGATTTAGATTGAGTGCAGAGATCTCAAAACAGGATTGTAGATGGAAGACAAGTTGTGTCTTAGTCCACCATCCCTATTTAGTGAGGGGTGTTCTATTTGGACAAAAATATCTTCCTTGACTCCTCTCTCAAACCAGCAATGTTCTCCGGAGAGGATCTGGACTTCACTGTCCTCAAAAGAATGGCCTTTGTCCTTCAGGTGGAGGTGGACTGCTGACTCTGGTCCACTGGAGTTGGCCCTCCTGTGTTGGGCCATGCGTTTGTGAAGCGGCTGCTTAGTTTCACCAATGTACAAGTCGTTACACTCCTGACTACACTTAATTGCATACACCACATCACTCTGTTTGTGTCTGGGTGTTTTGTCCTTCGGGTGGACCAGTCTCTGCCACAGGGTGTTCTCTGGCTTAAAGTTGACTGGGATATTGTGGTTGTGAAAGATACTTTTTAACTTCTCTGATAAACCAGCCACATAAGGGATGACAGTGTTATCCCCTCTTGTTTGTTATTTCTCCCTGTTGGTGTTGGGCCTCTTCCTTGCTTTGGTGAAGGCCCACTTAG